AAATGATTTCACAGACATCTCCTGAGCAACAGTGTCACTGGCTAATCCTTTCAACCCAGAAGCAGCTTAAACGGTGCCTCCAACATGAACAAGATGCAGATATCCTGCAGAAAATGAATGCAATCTGTTTTTCATTAATTGAAAGGGATGTAACTAATGGATTTAAGTCACAGAAAAGCTTATTCGAAGTTAATACTAGAAGAAAATTCCTAAAAGTAAGAGTGATTTTAAAGTAGAACCAATTATACAGATGGGCTTCTCTTTATTGATTGTGCTCAAGCAAGTATTTGTCAAAAATAGTATAATTAGAATTCCTGTACCAAGCATGGAATTGGATTTCAATGGCCTAAATGGCCCTTCCAACTTTATGATCTGTTTTTAGGGTCCATGTGTAGCCCTTGGGTTCACCTCTGTGTGTACTCTACTGGCATTTTATATGATCTCCAGCACAAAGGCATGTTGGCTGATCACATAATTTCTGACACCATATATTGTAGCTGTAGCTATATAGTAGGAGAAAAGCAATAATAGCAAAGAAGATAAAAGAAGCTGCTGATTTTAACAAAGTTATTCCTTTATGAGCCCCTCTGTACTTCTCTTTTTAAAAACTGTTCAGAATGGGATAGGTGTTAGTCTGAACCAAATTACTTCCTTTTAGAAGTATGGTCACTTCATGACCTGCATCTTTAGATGTGAAAGTAGCCCTTTAAAATCCTATTTATCACTATAAAGGAAAAAGTGAGTAACTGGCTATTGAGGTCAAGAGATCTATGTTAGTCAAATATCATATGTCACCTGAGATGTGGACATCAAGGATGTGACTAGAGAAGGACAAAGATATTTGTAGTAAAGCTATCATGAACAATCCTGCTGACATTTTTTTCCATTCAGTGAGAATATGAACATTCTTCAGAACAAAGTAAATAGCCTCTGGAATTGGATAAACATACTGTATATATTAAATTTAAATTAAAGGCTATGAAAGATTTAAGTCAGAAATTTCATTCGAACACAGTTGGATCAAATCTCAAAACTCAGAAAGTTGGATAAACTTTCTAAAATGATTTTATCCAGTTTAAGCCAATCTAGGCGACATGTGCACCTGAGTTTTATCATTTGAATGGCTATTTTCTAAATCACTCTAAACCAGTTTGATCAATGCAATAACTTGAATAGAGCTGACGAGTCTGAACTGAATGTTGGGCTCTAATCAAATCAATAAGCCAAATTGAATCAACTATTCAGATTTGCTGAAGGCCGAGTTACACACTTCTAATTAATTAATCTCAAAGGGAACGTCTGAAATTTTCAATATATGAAATTTATTACATTGTGAAGCATTTTGAAATACTTGACATTACTGCTACCTAAGAATTAGGAAATTCTTTGTTCATATTTTATTTCTATATTTCATTTTCATAATGAAATTCAATGGTGAAAAAATTAAAGTTCTACATTTAGGCAAGAAAAACCAAATGCACAGGTATAGTATAGGTAGTACCTTGCTCAATAGTAGCAACTGTGAGAGGGATCTTGGAGTCCTAGTGGACAATCACTTAAATATGAGCCAGCAGTGTGCTGCAGCTGCCAAAAAAGCCAACACAGGGCTGGGCTGCATTAACAGAGGGATAGAATCAAGATCATGTGAAGTATTAATACCACTTTACAATGCCTTGGTAAGGCCACACTTGGAATACTGCATCCAGTTTTGGTCACCACGATGTTGAGACTCTAGAAAGAGTACAGAGAAGAACAACAAAGATAATTAGAGGACTGAAGGCTAAAACATATAAGGAACGGCTGCTGGAATTGGGTATGTCTAGTTTAATGAAGAGAAGGACAAGGGGGGACATGATAGCAGTATTCCAATATCTCAGGGGCTGCCATAAAGAAGAGGGAGTCAAGCTATTTTCCAAAGCATCTGAAGGCAGGACAAGAAGCAATGGGTGGAAACTAATCAAGGAGAGAAGCAACCTAGAACTAAGGAGAAACTTCCTGACAGTGAGAACAATTAATCAGTGGAACAGCCTGCCTCCAGAAGCAGTAAATGCTCCAACACTGGAAGTTTTTAAGAAGAGACTGGACAGCCATTTGTCCGAAATGGTATAGGGTTTCCTGACTAAGCAGGAGGTTGGACTAGATGACCTCCCAGGTCCCTTCAAAATTTATTATTATTATTATTAATTATTATTGTTGTTGTTATTGTTATTATTATTATTTTTTAATGAAAGTTTTTTTATTTTTTCCATATAAACATTATAAAAAAGTATACAATACAATTTTAAGATAAAATAAACTTTATTACGACCTGCGCACTCCCCCCATTGTTATTATTATTGTTGTTATTATTATTGTTGTTATTATTATTATTGTTATTATTATCACCCATCCTCCTCAAGTGACCTAACAGCCTTAACAAAAGGGTTTCCTTCGATCCAGGAGCAGTCCATTAAATTTAAATTTCAAGGACAACTGACCATTGTCTTTCAGGATACAAGCCAGTTTTGTCAGCTATAAGCCAATTAGCAAAATTTATCCTGCCAAGCAATGTTCTGAAGTAATTAATGCAAAAACCTAGTTGATAGAACTGAGACATCATTACAGACGGCATGGCTGGATGCTGGCAAGCTATTCTTGACTAGATAATGTTTGCCCAGTTAAAATTGTTTGGCACAACTTCTTCAAGGGAAGAAACAAAGAAAAAGAAGAGCCTGTTGATTTTAGGGATGCTCTGCAAAACAGAGGTCAGCAATACTTAGGCCTCTCTAATACAAATCAGTCCAGCCCTACGTCTTTCTAGTAAAAGTACATCATCTTCTCAAATCAGTAGCTTCTGACTGGCAAGGGAAGTACACTCCTGAAACTGCCACTCAGTCCCAAAGACACCTGAGATACCTGAGAAAGTGGAAGATCCAGCTCATGACATGCCAAGGTCTCCACTCTTTTAATTCATACCACCTGTACTCTCTCTTATTCTCTTCCTAAAATCCTTCATTTCCTCTCCTTTTTCCTTGACCTGAAGTTGTCTCAAATGTACCTATCTGCTTTGGAAGCAAAAAAACCTACCAACCTCTAAGTTTTCTGCTTTGAAGATGTACCGGTACTCATGATTCGCTCTTATTACTTCTGCCTGGTCCGAGAAATGCATACCAGATCTATGGAATTAAAATAAGAAGGCAAACGCTTTTCTTATTTCCATGTGAGTAAACAAACCAGATCATCATATACTGTATTCATCTCTCTGTGAAATGATCATAAAGTGTTCAAGAGATTCCAGGGAGATTTTTGATAGCCACAGACATTTGGTGCTCTCTTTTTTTCTTCCACAATATTTGCATGCTGCTGGATGCTTGTGAAGTAGACATTTTTTTTTTCCTAAGAAGAGGATGTGGTCTTAGATCAGCATAATTCTCATTTATACTAGAACAGCCTGAATCACCTGACAGATCTTTAATATCATATCTGCATTGCCCCAAGCTGGATGGGCAGAATAATGAAGACACAGAAAGACTTTTGTTCTACCTATTATGAGAATGAAAGGAAGAGCATTTGAAAGACCTTGAAACATATGCCAGGAGGCCTATTAAAATTATTAAGCTATTAGGAAAATAAGTTTACTTATAACTAAAGGCTATTTCTTAGGAAATCAAAATCAAGTTATAATTATGGTTTATATTCACATGCAGACTTTTGTCTTAGTTATAAAGTTAAATGGCAGGTTATATCCTTGCTAATGTGCAATCTCTTTCATGCAACAGAAAAATGAGGATAAATGATTTTGCTCCTTCCTTTATTTTTTTTAACTGGCAAAATATAAAGACAATATTGGTATATTACAGAATCTCTGTTTAGCTGACTGTAAAACTATTCTGTAAAATAGTTCAGACTTTTGCAAATTGTGGTGCGTAAAGGTTAAATGGCACAATCGGACCATTATTCATTCAAGTAATGCCTTTTCTAATGTTTAAATAAAACTGCAACTTTCCATTCTTAAACTATAAAGTGCTCAGAAAAAAAAACATTTTATCTAGATAACAAGGCTAACAATTTTTTTTTACCTTTTGTAAATGCAAAAACAAAAAAAGCAAAGAAAAATTATTCTCATTTGTTTTATGATTAACAAAGAATAGTAAGGAAACATTCACTTTGATGTTGAAGGCTCAGCCAAACATAAAGCAAGGCAACATTTTATACAGATGTTTTAATAAGCTGTTAGTCATAAAATTCAGTTCCAAACCCTTTTTCCAGCTGAGGCAAATTTGCTGCAGCTCCCCTACGTGCAAAGTTGGTGAACAATGGCTGTTTAGGAGTAAATAAAAAATGAATAAAGGGTGAGACAGTATTTAATGTACATGTATGTGCTTTGATGATGTGGGAATGTACATGCTCTGATTCTACCACCCAGCCAATGACGGTTAGGATAAGAGTTTTTTCTTAGGACTGAAAAGTTTTTCTATCCATGCATTTGGGAAAAGTATGCCAAAAATTGTCTTTTCCTATGGAAGAGATGTGAAATCTGGAAAAAAATATGGATACCAAGAGTATCCATGAAGAATGTGTGATGGGTTGGAATAAGAACTCAGGCTTGAATCAATAATCCTCCTTACACATAAATTAATATAATATTGTGTGTGTTTATTATAATTTTTTTTCTTGTTCATGTAACATCTTGAACAGGGGCCTTCAAACTTGGCCCTTTTATGACTTGTGGACTTCAACTCCTGAAATTCCTCAGCCAGGCATGCTGGCTGAAGAATTCCGGGAGTTGAAGTCCACAAGTCATAAAAGGGCCAAGTTTGAAGACCCCTGATCTTGAAGAATGGATTTTTCATAATTATTGTTCCATTTTTAATACCTCCAATAATTCAAGGTCAAGATTCTCTCCACGTGGTGATGAAAGGCAGCACCCATGACTAAAAGGGATTTTACCAAGGCCTGCAGGCCACTGCATAGACTGAGAACATCAAGTATGATTCAGTGTGCAGTTCACAACAGGCAACATGAGTTTTGGTAAGAAAGGTGACAGTGAAGCACAATTGCTGTACCTGAGCTTACAAAACAGGTAGGCTGTGTACATGGTCTTCTGAACCCTGCTCATGTGCCTATATAGGTTCAGAACACTATGCAATTAAGAACATACAGATTATAACAGCTGAACCGTTGTGAGATGGAAAAATCCCGGGTAACAAAAAAGACTGAGAAATAATAATCAGTTTTGATTCAGCCACAAACAAATGGTCTTTTAATTCAAGAAAGAGGCCTTTCCCCTCCCACTTTCCTTTCCTTTCCTTTTTTTTTTTTTTTTTTTTGTAAAGAGATGCCGTTCTTTGGAAACTTCATATTTGCACTTTGGGAAGTATAATACACTTCATTAAACTCAATTAATGCTTTGAAATTTCCAAAGCTGAAGCATAGCATTATCCAAAGCTTATAGTAATCAGCTTTTCATAATGCCATTAATTAGTTTGCATAAGTCTTAATAATTTCTAAATATTAAAGAATGACCCAATAGCCATTTATTGGGAAGTGACTCCTGCATTTGTTTAGAAGTCATAGGCTGCAAGTCAGGAAATGTTTAATATGTTTAGCAGCATGAACACATACACTTTTTAAACCTCTAGATATCAATTAGCTTAGGCAAACCTAACTCTGTTAAGGATTGAGCTGTTAGTCTTTCTGAAAGACAGTGGATTGTGAGGCTTTGAAATATATCCATTCCATCACAGCAAGTTGAATTTAATTCAGCAGAATTCATTTTTGTATGCACAAGCAAGGATCTTCCTGTGTCAGTTTAGAGCTGGGGGCAAATGATGGTGATTGTTTAAGGGCCCCCAAGGGTGGCCCATATAACACCCCTGTTGTGCCAGCTGCATTGGTTGTCAATTTGCTTGCAAATCCAATTGAAGGTGTTGATTATGACTTTTAAAGCTCTTTATGGAATGAGTCCGGGTACCTGAGGAACCATCTCATCCCAATGGGATGGGCCTGCCCCACTCGCTCCAGCAGAAGGGGCAAGCTGCAGACTCCATCAGTCAAGAAACTTCATTTGGTGGGATCTAGGGAAAATGGCTCCCACCCTCTAGAACAGACATGTCAAACACAAGGCCCGCGGGCCAAAACCGGCCCGCCATATGATTGGATGCGGCCCAGACAGCTGTCCTGGAAATGACAAAGGTCCGGCCCCTGCCGCCTTGGCACCGTCCCGGAGAAAGCAAGCACATGTGGGCTTATGGAGCCCAGCAACAGTTGCAACTCATTGGCCCCTCATTGGGCCAGAAGTCAGGCTACTCTGCTGCTTAGCAGCAGTAGCAGCAACAGGAGCTCTGCTGCCCTCCCCCCTGCTTTAGCCCAGGAAAGTTGTGAGCCCAAAGGTGAAGTTGCCATCGTAGCCTGCTAGGCATATGTTAAGCCTGTAGCTGGGCTGGAGAGGGCAGGGCTCCAGGCAGCCACACTGCTGTCTGATGGAGAAACGGAGCTGAGCTGGGCTGGAGGGGGCAGGGCTCCAGGCAGCCGCATCAGCAACATCAGCCTTCTGGCCCCTTAGCCCCTTGTTGTCAGCTAGGAAGGGAGGGGAGGATATGCAGGCAGGAGAGAATGAGGGATTCCTGTTCCTTTGGGTGCTCCAAAACCATCTCATTCTGGGGAAGCATCCCCACAAACTGAAAACTCAGCAAATATTCAACAATTGAGCCCATCTCTCTAAATCTTTGCAACTTTAAGACAGCTGGACTTCAAGTCCCAGAATTCCCCACTAGCAAAGATCTGGACTAAAAGTACAAAGAGGAAATCCTTGCTCCACGGTCTAGTGCCACAAAGCCCAAAACCCTTCATTGGCATACCACACATGTTAAACAACTGGCACTCAATAACGGATGGGCATCCTCCCCTGTGAGCCCCATCCCCTTGCCCCCTGGGTCCCCAAACCTCATTATGCTCTGAGGCTTTGTGGAAAATGCATGGAAGTCAATGGAGGGATGCTTTGGGTCTCCCCCAGAGGACAGACCAACAGACCCTGAGAAATCTAACTAGCATTGCTTGCAAAAGCTAAATTTTGGATGGACATTTCAGGGATTTTGAGCTCTGTTTCTGGGCTTCATGGACATAGGAGAGTTGGTGGGAAAAGATGGAGCAAGTGGTTCCTTGTTTCCTATTTGGGAAAGCTGGATGTGTCTTGATTCCCCATCCCCATAATCAGAGACTGGAAGGAGCCCTGAAAATATCAGAATCTGATCAGAAATGGAGGAAGCTTAACTAGAGAGACTGAGCAGTCCTTGTGGCTGCTAGGTCAGCTTTGGAGTGATGGTGGATTGCTGATTATTTTCCTCCATCCATACAGGATCTCTCTTGTATAATATATATATTTTCAACTGTGTCAAAGAGGGCTGCAGTCGCTTGCTTTCTCTCCATAGATGCTGTGATATTGCTAAACCTGCTCAAAACATCTGGACTTGCAGCATCCTACTGAGCCAGCAGAGTGGATACCTAGCATGCTCACAACTGCTTGCCTCACACGTACCTGGGACTTTGAGCTTTCTGTCCAGTCTCATCCATATATACATCTGCAGGGAAGAAGACTTTCATGCCAATATTTAAACCTCCAAAAATGGCTAAACGGAAAGTGGATTCTGAAAAAAAGATGCTTTCAAAAGAGGTGGGATGTCACAGCAGCATATGTTCACAAAAGCAAAATCACAAAGTGAAGCTGCTGTGAAAGCTAGTTTTATAGTGGCAGAAGAGATAGCTAAATCAACCCTGCCATTTGCAGAGGGGGAGTTTTTGAAGCGCTGCATGATTAAAGTGTGTGAAGTCTTGTGTCCAGACCAAAAGCAAGCTTTTTTTAATGTAAGCCTAAGCAGAAATACTGTTGTTGATCGGATATGTGAGCTTGCCACTGATCTACAAAGACAATTGGTTGAAAAGGGAAAAGAATTTATTGCTTATTCCTTTGCTGTGGATGAGAGCACTGACATCTCTGACACAGCACAGCTGACAATCTTCATCCGTGGAGTGGACTCAAGTTTGTGTATTATGGAGGAACTTCTGGCTATAGAATCAATGCATGCCACTACCACTGGAAAGGACATATTTGAAGCAGTATCCAAAAGTATAAATGATATGAAACTGCCCTGGGACAAACTTATAGGGCTCACAACAGATGGAGCACCTTCAATGTGCAGGGAAAAGAGTGGATTAGTAGGAAGGATGTGGGAAAAAATGAAGAGCGAGAATTGCACAAGTGAGCTGATAGCATATCACTGCATCATACATCAAGAAACACTATGCGGCAAAGCCCTGAAAATGGAACATGTAATGCACACTGTAACACAGACAGTTAACTTTATAAGAGCCAGAGGTTTAAATCACCATCAATTTAAGTCTTTTCTTGAAGATATAAATTCTGAACTTGGTGATCTCCCTTATCACACAGAGGTGCGATGGCTAAGTCGAGGAAAAGTGCTCAATAGATTTTTTGAATTGCATGTGGAAATCTGTCAGTTTATTGAAACCAAAGGAAAAGACTCCACAGCATTGCGGGATGAAAAGTGGCTATGTGAATTAGCTTTTCTATGTGACATTACTAATTATCTCTGTGCACTAAACCTTCAGCTTCAGGGACGGGACCGTGTGATCACAGACATGTACGATGCTGTGAAAGCTTTTCAAGTAAAGCTGCATCTGTGGGAGACTCAGATGCAGCAAGGAAACTTGAGTCACTTTCCCAGTTGCCAAACAATAAAAAACCAAGTCTCCACCACTGTGTTCTCAAGTGCTCAGTTTGCTGGTAAACTGAGCACACTTCAGATGGAATTTACACGTCGCTTTGTTGATTTTGAAAGATGGAAATTCAGTTTTGGATTGCTCAGCAATCCATTTTCAGTCGAAGTGGAGAGCGCACCTGTAAATATCCAGATGGAGATGATAGAACTCCAATGTAATAGCACGCTGAAGGGAAAGTATAATTCTGTAGGACCCACACAGTTCACCAGTTTCATCCTTGAAACAATGCCCCAACTCTGCCTACAAGCTGCTCGAATGCTCTGCATGTTTGGGAGTACATACCTCTGTGAGCAACTTTTCTCTGTCATGAGGGTGAACAAAAGTGCACACAGAAGTCTGCTCACTGATGCCAAACATGGATGAACTTGTAGCCAAGAAAAGATGCCAAACATCCAGTTCGGACAAAATGGCATGAGAACTAAAAAGCTTGTGTTTTTCTTTGTTTAAAATTTGTTTTTGCAGATTTATTTGAAATAAATAATTTATTTGTTCATATTTCAAATTTTAATCCTTTTTGCCCCACTTCTTAGACATAATACACTTCTGAACTAATATGATACAATAGTCTTACTACATGCAACTGGCCCTTTGAAGGCAACCATGATGCTGATGTGGCCAAAGTTTCCAGGAAGCAGTTTCCTCCAAGTCCAACTTCTGCCTTGAAAGATCTCTAGTGAGGAGCAGGAGGTGACAGGGAAGCTGTGTGAGGGAAGGCTTCTCCAACAAGCCAGCATCCTTACCATGCATGACTGGAAATGGGGATTCCCTTTCAAGAAGGGCCAGCCTCCCTCATGCAGGACTGGGAAGTGCTGCTCCCCTGTCTCCTCCTCCTGCATTCCAGAGATCTGTCAAGGCAGAAGAAGGAAACACATTCCAAGCTTGGAGACTAGGAGGCTATCCACATCTGAGCTAGCAAACTACAATCATGCCTGGGCTTGGGAAGAAGGCCCTTTCCATCCTCTGTGGATAAAAGTCCCCAAACTTGGAATGCAGTGTGTGTGTGTGTGCATGCGCACATGCTTGGCTGCCAGAAGTTTGGGGAGGTGAAGAGCTTGTGAGACAGCCAGTGCAACTTGTTCTGTCCTGACCCAGGTATCTCGAGTCAGCTATGCTGAGTGAGCAGCATTGAGCTGGCCACGCCCACCTGGCCCTTTGAGGGCAACCATAATACTGATGCGGCCCTCAATGAAATTGAGTTTGACACCCCTGCTCTAGAACCTCATGCCCACTGAAGTAAGATCCGCTCTTACACTTTTGGTTTCTGAAAGAGCTGCAAACCTGGGTCTCCGATTTGCCTGGGCCCTGATTGGGCTCTTCCACACTGGAGGTGGCCAGTGACCCGGAAGGAAGATCTCACCCCCACCACACTTAATTTTGGTTTTTAATTTCTTTAATCCCTGTTTCTTTTTTACATTTCATGTGTTAACGTTTCGTACTTGCTTTTATGTGGTTGTAAGCCACCCAGAGTCACTTTGCAGTGAGATGGCAGGAAGAAAAATTTAATAATAGTAGTAGTAGTAGTAGTAGTAGTAGTAGTAGTAGTAGTAGTAGTAATAATAATAATAATAATAATAATAATAATAATAATAATAATAAACAACTCTGTGAATGAACCAAAAACCTGACAACTGCTTAAAAGCATAATATTTATCAAAATATTTTTAGTATCATTTTTAAAATTTTAATCTACTGTTTTTGAAACGGGGAATGGCCCCTATGTGTAATTTCATCTTTTATTGCTTTCCGTCTAGGATTTACAGAGACAAAACATACATTTCCCACTTTTCCACTTAAAATATTTACCAAAAGTTATGAGATCTATTGGTTATACTGACTCATGAGGATATATATGTTTCTGTTTCTTTATTACAAAGCTTTGCTACAGATTACACCTCTGGGATATTAAGGAGAAGGATGGCCAAACTTCCTTCCCTCCCTTTTCATCTATAGGTGATTGTCATGACCACTCATCCAGCAATCATTGAAACTTTTGATGGCACTAAATGAGCACTATTAACAATGGCTCCTTAGATTTCTGGCTGCTGCAGTGTTCCCACAGCAACATAATTGTGATGTAGGCACTTGGTGTCCAGCTTGTAATTACAACATTGCAATGAACTGTGGTCCTGCGATCACAATTTTGGATGTCCCTTGCCAGCTTCCCACAAGAAAAGGCAAATGGAAAGCCAGCAGGAAGTAGGAAGTCGCGAGAGGTCCTTGGTTAACAACCCATGTAGTCCTCCCTTAACAACAGCAACCAGGATTGTTGGAACTACTTTCACTTAGCAAAGCAGTCACATAAACATCATGCTTTAGGATTGTGTTGCTTAGCAATGGCAATTCCATTCCCAATTGTTGGCATAACCTGAGGACTCACACTGGAGAAGAAATGATGTTTGTGAGACCACTTGCTTTGGTTTTACCCTTGAATGCGATTGAGGAAGCATTACATTTTTTCTTTTAGCTTTGAGATCCTGGCTGTGACAAAGTTTGAGAAGTCCTGGTTTAATTAAATGAAGCTGTGTCCCTGAAATACTTCTTTTCAATCATGTAAGAGGGGGAGCACAGCAAGCAGAGTTATGGATTTCTGTTCTGCACTTCAAATATTCAAGAGTTACAATACTTCCTTTTGATTGCATTGTTACGGAGAAAAGATTCATCATGTGAATCCCTCCACAGAGAGGGAAGCTGGATTTTTCCACTGTCTGGGTATATAAACCAAATGTTCTGTTGACTTACACACCGTGCTTCTTCTCTGGAGCCAGTGTGAAGCCATTTTTAGACATATTTCAAGCAAGATCAGAATCACATTGCCATGGTAATTTTTGTCTGAACAAGAAGAAGCCTTCTTTCTTCTACCTTGTTTTAATGACAGCACCTTGGGTAATCCAACACTGTGCTAATATTGTTCAAAAGCAAGCAGCTGAGATGTATAGGCTGACAATCACCCATCTGAAAAAATAGGACTTGAAAATAGATACTATGTGCAGAATTGTCTAATTTGAAGGACTAGATGTATATTTTAATTAAGAAAGTCTTTATTACTAATATTTCTACATTTTTTGGAGCCAAAAGTCATGATATATATAATCTGGCAAATTGGGAGGGATGTTTCTTATAGTATTGAAGTAACAGAAGGTGATAGTGATGTTAGAGTCACAGTTTCATGGAGAGAAAGAGTGGATAAAGGGAGGTTTCATGAATGGAAAGAAAGGAATATGAATAAAGTGACGGTCTGTTTCATGTTGAGTTTGACTCCAGTTGACTTCATATGGACATCCACATTGTTTTCTGACAGGAATGGAGAATACAGAATGCTGCCTTCTTCTACGATCCTTTTACTAACCTAGGCTGGAGTATTGCCCTGTAATCCCTGTAGATCCCCTTCCAATTATAACCAGTTCCAGTCCTACTTTGTTTCCAAAACTAAATAAGGCCAAGCAGATGCCACCTTCTACTCAGATAAGAAGATAGTTAAAAATAATAATGAAATAGATGCTGATGAAGAGGGGATGAGACAGAATAATAAACAGAGTATGGATGGTTAAATATACTCATGTATGTCTGAGAGCAGTTAAATAATGGTACCGTATTTTCTGGCGTATAAGACGACTCGGCGTATAAGACGACCCCCGACTTTGGAGATGATCTGAATGCTTTAGAAAGTCGTCTTTTATGCCGGAAAATACGGTAAGTATATTGGAAAGTGTAACTGGAAAAGAAAAGACACTGGAAACCCCCTTTTTTCCTAAAAAAAAAAAAAATTGAGCTTGTGATTTACGACTTTGGTGATTAGAAAAGATAGACTATGGAAAGATTATGTTGTAACCTTAGAGAGAGAAGGTAAAATATAAATATACTTGTAACTGGTAAGAAGATCAGAAGTTGCTTTCTCTTTCCCCATTTCTTTCCTTTCCCTGTTTCTTCATACACACCCCCAAACACACACACACACACACACACACACACACACACACACACACACAAAATCAGTTGTCATCGGTATGAGTGGTCTATGTCTTCCTTAATCTCAGATCCTCTCCACCAAAGGCCTGGGAGTTTGAAGGTTCTGCATAGTATCTTAGCTATTCCTAGCACTGTATTCCTCTAGATAGAGAGCAATGATGTTGTTCCTGGGATTTGTTGCAGCCTCTCCCCCAGCTTAGCCCTGAGTGATCCTTCTACAACTGAGACCACTTGGCCTTTATTTTCCACATCCTCTCCAATTCTTCCTTCAGGCTCTGGTACTTCTCCAGCTTCTATACTACTTCTTCCTGATGTTGCTTTTACTTGGGATTGCTACAGTATATCTATCACCACCACTGTCTTCTGGTTCTTGTCAACTAATTCTGGTCCTTATCTGTTGCTCATCTATATCTGTCTGTCTGTCTGTCTGTCTATCATCTATCATCTATCTATATAATCTATCATCTATCTCCATCTCTCATATGATTAAAAAATTGATTTTTTTCCACAAATAAATATAATCTTTGACTTAAAAATGTTGCCTACAGTTGTAGCAGATACTGAGACCTTGATCTGAAGCACTAGAAGATCAGAACTAACATGTCTTTCATAAATCAGGAGTCTGGTAGGATCTTGTCAGATTAACAAAGCATAAACTACAGCTCACTTCATAAGATGTGCTTTGATGTTTGGCTATAGTAGATTAATACAGCTCTTCGGCTACAAGGCCTTTCACAGTATCTTGCCAAATAGATTTTGAATGGATAGAATAGACCAATGCTATATGTGTTGTCCAAGGTTTTTTTCTGGAAAGATATGAGCATAGCAGACAAATACATAAACAACTGGGCATTTCTAAATTGGAGAAATAAGTAAGTAGCTACTATTTAAAGCATTTCACAGTGACCAATCTCTTTAATACCAGTATAAAATATACTACTGACATTTAATATGGTGAAAATGCTAGTATGACCACTTCAGTCTTTTATAGCTACAAAAGAAAAGAAAACATTTTGTCTCCTAAAAATGAAGAAGCAACAGAATCATTGTGGGATCTTTCCTTATCAAAATTTTCATTTCTGTGGCAATATAAAATAAGTAACATGGCTACAAAGAATATTCCGTAGATTGTGATAATTATAGGGGATACGTCAAAAAAATTGTAAAAGCTGACAACGTTGGGAAAATGCATGAACATCATGAATTGAAATTAATATTCTTGTGAGAAGATCCAGATTTTAGTTCTCCTTAGGCACAGAAACTGACTAGATCAGGGGTCCCCACCCCCAGTCCATGGACCTATACCGGGCCTTGGCATGCCAGCAACAAACAAGCCTGAGATGTAGGCAGCACACAAAATCACGCACCCTCTGGTCCACAGAAAAACCTCTCTCCAT